AGTCTCTCCTACCTTCACTTTCCTTCTTCCCATCCCAGATTTTATGCACATTCATTTTAACTACTTCCTGGCAAATCCCCTCAACTTCCTTACCCATAGGCCCCTCCATCACTCTTGTCTTTACACAATAGCTAGGGGAGATTGTTCTCAAGCAACTTTATGTTGCTGGAGAAAACAACCACGCAGCTGAGCTGACGGGGTTCACGTTAATATAATGGCCCCAAGTATCCATGAACTCTCACAGCTGCCCAAACAGCTGACCATCTTTCTCTCCCAGGCTCATTTTCCCAATCACCAAGATTAATAATTTCTCTCTCTTTGTACTTCCCACACCTCCTCATCCATCCACAGTTTCAGCTGATGACCAAACCTCATACTTAGCTGGGGAAAGTATAAGTCACCAGACGCAAACTCCCTCAGCTCCTCACCATCCATGCTCAAGCCCAGTGTGCGTATTCATTTTCTCCTTTTAACCCACCACGATGGAGGGACTGAAAGCTGACCCTCCACTTGGGCTCTGAATTGCATCCCATGAAGTCACCTTTGCCTTCGAAAGCACCTCACTTTGTTAGCTATGCCCTTTCCATGTACCTGGTCAGTCTCCCCCTCTGTCTGCCAAGTTATTCCCATCAACAAGGAAACATGCTCTGGTGTCTGCCCCTATCAAAAAGGCAAGTCTCGATTCCTCCAGTGACTGCACCATTCCTGTTTCCTATTCACAGCCAAACTTGCCAACGGTTATCTACACACAGTACTGCCACTGCCCCTTATTGCTCCTTGTAATTTACTGTATTTTTCTAGAAATTTAAAAAATACAGAGAAAGAATTGGGTAGTTAACTGCACGTGTGTATTTTAAATGAGTTAAAAGGATACACACAATATCCACCACAGAGGCTGCTACTGTGGTGGGGACAGCAGGACGGGACAATGGGGAATTGAGATTCAAACTTTTCCACTCAATACTCTCTACTCTGGCTTCTGCCCCCACCACTCAACAGAACCACTGTTAAGGTCATCAATAAAAAACCCCTGTGTTTCTAAATCCAGCGGACATCACTTTGTCCCCATCTCCCTCAGCCTCTCCGCATGTGTCGCAGTTGACTACTCCCTCTCTGACATGCTTCTCTTGGTTTCCGTGATGACACCAGAATCCACAGTCACCTGGTTTTTTGCTCTCACCTTGCTGGGACATTTTCCTCATTTGCTTAGCTGGCTCCTCCTCACCTCCCTGAACTTAGGGTTCTTTGGAGGGTCTTTCTCATCTTCTATAATCTTGTCCTCCATTGTCTCTTCCACGGGCTGTGGCTACAAATGTCATTTATATGCTACAACTACCAGATGGATTTCTCCACTCCAGGTGACCTCTGAGATCCACCCCTACAAATTCAACTGCCTCCTGAACATGTTCTCCTTGGTATTTCAAATATAAAGTCCCAAACTTCTTAACATCTTCTGTTCTCCACGCCAACTCCCACCCCATTCCTTAGACTTCCTTGGTGTTCTCCCATCAACCTGACGGCTCGAACCAGAAATCACCCTCTCACTAACACCCAACATCCAAAGAACCAGTAAGCGGCTTGTGCCATCCCTGATAAGCTCTCACGTTTTTCTTTTCTTCTTCTCTACTATCAGCACTGTAGACAAAACTACCATCCTTCTCCAGATCACTAGAATAAGGTCCTGCCTGTTCTCACCTCTTCCCTGCTCCTCCTTCCCACTCCTGATGCATTCTCCATCCATAAAAAAGGGTCTCCTTAAAATAAAAATGGGATCATGTTGGTTTATTGCTCTTTCTCTGTAGGCCTCTCTCTCTTACACACACACATACTTTGGGACCCACACTCCTTCATTAGGTTTGGAATCCCCAGAACACAGCTCAACATTAGTATATAACAGGAGCACCACAGATATTGGTTAGAGGCACCAATGAAGTGGCATCCTATGATGGTTTGAAACCCAGGCACACTGAGCTCAGAAATTAATAACAGATCCAGAAACTAAAGCGCACATGGAAAGGAAGGCAAAAAAATAAATAAATAAATAATAGCCAAGAAGTAGTAGACAATATAAAGCAGAGAAAAACCATTAGAACTGGAAAGTGTTTGGCATAGTGTGTGACCCTTAAAAGGCATGGTTATTATTAAAAAGAAAATGTATTGGTGGTAATTGAAACAGTGGCAGTAGTCAAGTAGTGTTCTGGGAAGGTCCTGAACTTTCCAGTACCCCCAGGATGAGCCAGTTTTGGGGAGTCTAGCTGTGTGACTATGATTCTGTCCTTCCTCCCTCCTATGTGTATGCTACAGCAGACTGAAGGAGCTCCTGAGTTCCCCGGGGTTCGGATCGTATATCCAGGAGTACTTCAATATTGAGTGTCTCCCGAGTAGACCCAGGGTGTCTCTGTTCTCACAGCTGGAAAACTTGAGCCTGTCTGGTACCTCCTGGGGTTAGTGTTCTGTTTTGTTCACAGCTCTGTCCCTGGTGCCTGCACATAGTAGGAGCCTGCAAAATGTATGTTGAGATGGATTCAGCTGGCCAGAATGCTCCAAGGAACTGAGTAATTCTGGATTTTCTCTGATTTTCCCCTTTCTCTTAAAAATAAAAGAGGTAATAAATTCTTGTGAAGTATATTTTGCAGCTAATGAAGCCTTAGCTGCAATGTGTCCAAATGTGAAGTCAGTATTAGAGTATTACTTGGATGGACAACCCAATCTCCAGGGAACTCTGAATGGACACGTGTCAGGAGTGTTCCATACATGTGACTGCACGATATACCGTCATGGGGGGCCTTTTTAGCAGAAAACAGTCATACCCATCACAGACTGGGAAAGCTGACCTGCCCAAAGCACATTTCAGGGCTACCTTCTGAAAGGGACCTTCCAAGGTCTCCTATTGTTGTTGTCTTATAAAGGAGGAAACCAGCATTCCTAAAGCTAAACCAGCGGATTCCAAATCCAGGCAAATGTAATGGCTTGGATTTTCAGTTCTCTCCCCTACCAATTTCCCTCTCCAGATTTATAACCCATGGACTCTCAGTCATGTAGCTAAACATTTTACGGGACCGGTGTGATAAACTGGCAATAGCAATGAGCATTAGAGCCAGGATTCCAACCACAGATTCTACTATTTTGTCTTGAGACCTTGGACAAGTCACTTTAACTTTGAGTTTGTTTAGTTGTCTGAGAAACGAGTGCAATTATGCCAACCTTGTAGTGTGTTTGAAAGGATTAGAGATAATGTAGGTGCTCCCTGGCTGCTTTACTCATAGTAGACACTCAATACTGAGAGCAACTAGATAACCACTGTACACTGGTAGATTTCTTTCTCCACTTGACCGACCATAAGGCCTCCAGGACAATGAAGTTTTTATTGGCCTAATTTCTTTATTTTCGACATTTTAAATACTCAATAGCCAGATGTGAATCAGGACTACCGTATTGGACAGCTCAGGTTAAATAGTACTTTTCTTCAAAGAAATTTTTAGGCTTACATATGGTAAAGTTTTGTTTCACAGGTGCTTTAGAAAAGGTTTATTCTTTGTTTGTAGAGTTCAATATACTTCCACTAGAAATATCTTGTAATTAATATTCACGCCTTTTTTATCTTACTCTGCATTCACTGGATCTGCCGAAGTTCCAAAGAGGCATAATAAATTATTCCACTACAAATTTAATTCTATCAGGGTTTTCCTTTTGTGTTTTCTGAAGATTTTGCTTCCTATATTTTAGCGTCATGTTCATTGGTGCATAATCACTTGTGACAGTATATTCCATCATGGATCGCACACTCCATCATTATTAAAGGTTCCTTTTTGACCTCTTTGACATCTTTTGCCTTGAATTCCACTTTCCTGATAGTAATACTGAGATCCTTCTGTACTCTTTTCAGTCGCTTTGGCCTGTATACCTCTGCTCAGTCTTCAAATTTCAATCCTCCTTGTCTCGTTATTTCAAATCTTTTCTGTGAGTCACGTTGGTGAGCTCAGTAGTGAATCTGTAAGCCAAGAGACTCTGACTAAACAATCTTCTCTCTTCTACAGCCACAGCATCTACTGAGGTCTTGGAGAACCATGAAGTTGCTTAGCATATTTTTCTTAATCGCAGTAATTCCCTATATATTGATAGCAGCCTCAGCCTGAACATCAATTTCTTATCTGTTATCCTCTTCATCTTCACAACCACCTTTGAAGTAGAAAGGGCAGATGTTGTCACTCATGGTGATTGTGAACATGAGTAGTGCAAGCTGCTCCAGTATTATAGTCGGGGGTACAAATTAGCTCAGGTACTTCCAGGACAAACACACTAACTCAGTGGGAGGAAGAGAGGCCAGACAAACATGCAGATTGGGGGAACAGGGTGATTCCTGGAAAGTTGTAACTTCTCTCTTTTTTTGTTAAATGTATACATTTGGCCTGTTATTCATTCAAAAAACACTACTGACTACACTGTATACTAGGAACCGTGTTAGGCAGTGGGAATATGAGTTTGTAGAAGACATAATCCCTGCTCCATGGCACTCACAGTATAATTTAGTGGTTCTCAGATTTGGCTGGTTGTTAAAAATGACTAGAATTTTTTTTTTATTATACAGTCCATCGGTCACCCTCTAGGCACCCTCAATAATAATAGGGCTGGAACCCATAATATGTATATTTTAAAGCTCCACAGTCCCAGACAGAGTTGGGAACACTGGACATTTAGGTAAAACAAGGAACTATTGTCCCACATAGCAGTTCATATATTTCTGCTAATACCATCTCATTTAAGTTTCATGGCAACACAGCGAGGCAGGGGTTGGTTATGTTCCATTTATAAATTCGAAACTTGAGAACCAGAATGGTTTTCCAAATCCACAGGCAGTGAACGACAAAGTTGAGCTTGGAACTAAAAGTCATTTCAGGGGCCTTGGGTCAGGAGCTGTGACACAAAAACAACTCCTCTTTGGCTTTTCTGAACCAAAATCTCTGAGAGTGAGGTGTGGATCTGTGTGCTTTTCATAACAGGCCCTCGGAGACTCCTGATGTTGAGAACTGCATGTCCATTCCAACCTGCCCATTCCCAGGGCGGATCCTCAGTGAGGCTGCTGGGGCAAGAGACCCACCCAAGGACCCAGGGAGGAGTCGGAGCTGAAGAACCAGGACTAGACCCCAAGGCTGGACTTGGCCCGACACACGGGAGCTGTGGTGCGGCTGTGGGCTCCTCACCATCACTGCTCCTCTCCAAACGGGCTGGAAGGTTTGACTGTTCCCTGCCTCAGAGAGAAGCCACATGCCCTTTGATTCATGCCATGGTTTGCACAGAAAGTTCTTAGTCAGGAAATGTTGGTCATAAAGCGTAATGCTGGGGTAACCCCCTCATCCAGAGACTTGCTCCCCTCCCAAATCTTGGGCTCTACTTCTGCCTCTGTTTAACAAGGAAATACTGGTCATGTGTCACCTGTTTTGATTCTTACTACTGAGGTATGTTATTTGTTCTTCAAAATGTGACTCCATTAAGAACGTTTTCTTTTTTCGTTCCCTTAAGTGAACCAGGCCAAAATAGTAATAGACGAGAAAGGTAATAAAGGTACATTAACAAAACTAAGCAAAACAATATGAAGGGACACATCAAGGAAAGGAGAAAACACCCACTGAGACCAAATTTACAAAGGCAAAAATTGATAACTGATTTTTATTGAAATCTTAAGTACACTATTTTATTTTATGAATGAAGAAAATGCCCATAGAGCATAATCCACAAGCCCAAGGCCATACAACCAAATAGGGCATTGAATCAAGATCAAACCTCAGATCCTTCCTTTATTCAGAACATCCCATGGTTTCCTGAATGCTAAGGCTGTTTTTTTAAGTCTCTGACAGGAGTCTGTTCAATTTAACAAGTTGGCCACATAACAGGTATAGTTCTTTCTAGATGCAGTTCAATCTTTAGCCTCTATAAACCAGATGCCCTTTATCTAGGAAGGTGCTGGTGCAATATCATGATAAAGCCTTACATTTTTGCAAATTTCCAGCTGGAAGAGCTCAACAAATCAAAGCATGCTTTTCTTTGAACTTATAGGGAAGCTGAGGCCCAGAGAGGGCAAGGGGCTTGCCCAAGATCACACAGCAAGCAAGTGCCAGAGAAAGCTCAAAGTCCACATCTCCTAGTACCCAGGTCAGGTTATATGAGAAGGAACAGAGACAGTGAGCAGTAGAGCCAAGTGGCTTCTCAAATGTCTTCTGGCTCTGTGACCTCCAAAACCTTGGAGTATATGATTTCATAAATGGGAAAATATAAACACTTTCCCCAGTAAAAACAGAATTGGTTTTCCTGTGGGATGAAACAGTACATGCTGCACATTTACTCCAACAGTTCTCAGTAACAAGGAGAGTCCTGGTGTGATTTTATTTCTCTGCTTCCCTCAAAGTTTCCAGTTAAGCAGAGTCAAGAGGATTATTTTTCCCACATGGCCTCAGTGGGCTGCTCTTAACATTTGCTGTGACTTATACAGAACCCAGGAGCCCAAAGCAACCATACATGTTCTTTCCATTTTCCCCAAAGCAGTCTGTCATTTCCCCACTTCCACTACCACCAACAATCACACCCCTTGTTTTCAATGCAGTATTCTTGGCATCTTGAAACTAGAAAAATGCTAGAAATGGAGCCAGATGTGCTTTTCCTAGTTGATTCTGGGACTGTGGAGAACATGGCACCCCTAAAGGAAAAATTAGGGACTGAACACTTACATAATTCAATGCTAGTTATTATTAGTTTACCTTCACTTTTACCATTTGGTTGTTACTAAATTAGGTCACTGTGAGTAAGGCCTAAGCAGTAGTTTGGTTTTCTGTTTCTTTAACTTTCCCAGTGTGCAGTCTCAGGGTTGAAACCACTAGCAATGAGTTGAGTTATGTTTCCCAAACTTACCTATAATTTTTAAAAAAAGAGAAAATCACCTGGCGTGCCTGATAGAGGTGCCGAATCGCAGGCCCCTCCCCCCAGCTCAGTGCAATGTGGCTGGAGCCCTGGAATCTGTGTTCTTAATAAATATTTCCAGAAAATTCTTGCTACTTGGGAAAGTTTAGGATCTGGCAAGTTTGGGAAACACTGAATGATGGCATAGACTTTTAATCACACCCAAGAGAGACATTTGCTGACCAGAAGCTTGGAAAATGTAAGGAGGCTGCCATCAGCTAAGGAAGAAAACCCAGTCTTGGGCCACTTCTCCTCCATAAGCCCCCCTCTCCATTCAGGCAGATGCCTGCCCTTCCAGACTGTGGAAAACACCTCCTATCCCAAAAGCATTTGTGCATACAGTGGTAATGAGCATGCTCTAGCTAGTACAAAATGGCGATTAGGTTCAAGTTGACCCCCTGGATTAATTGTACATCAAAAGGAATTGCTAACATCAAGCATTTACTGAGCACTAATAGATTCAACAAGCCCACACTGAACATCACTCCACACACACCCTAGGAGATCATGAGGACACAACCTTAGACAGAGTCCTTCTCAATGAGCAAGGACTCTCACCTCCACAAGCCTGCTCATCTCTTTCTCCATCCAGCCTGGCCTCTTCCACTCAACTCAGCTCTCTTAAGCCTGCTGGTCCCTCTGCATTTAAGTCCACCCCCAGAATCCCTTATTGTACAATTCAGGCTGATTACTCCCTTCTCTGAGCTTCTGTATCATGAGAACTGCTGATGGTGATATCTCCACTGTTAACGGTATTCACCCTGATTGCTTAAAGATTCCACACAGGTGTCTTGCCTCCCTAGGTTATAAACTCCTTGGGAGCTGTGCTCAGCTAGCGTAGACCCTCAGTATAGTTGCTGCAGGGAAAGCTGAATGAATGAATGCCAAGGTTAAGCTATATATGAATAAATTAATTAATACATTTCAAGCTATAAAAACCTCAGCACATACACAGAGTTGAAATTATGATCCTAGAAGCGAACCTCGACATAACTCAGGACTTGTATCCGTTGGAGTCACTCTACCCTGGCGGGTCTCACACCGTTTGTCACAGAAACCCTTTGCACTCTTAAAAAATTATTGAGGATCTTAAAGACATTTTGTCTATGTGGGTTATACTTACTGATGTGGACTGTATTAAGAATTAACACTGATCACTTAAGAATATTTATTTATTTTAAAATAATGTGTTTTTGTGAAAAATAACTCTTCTTCCAATAGAAATAATTTAATGAGAAGAATGGCAGTTTCACCTTTCACAAAGCTCTTTAATGTCTGGCTTAATAGATGTCAACTGGATTCTTGGGTCTGCTTCTGCCTTCAACCTGTTGCCTCTGGAAAATTCCACTGTGCATACATAAGAGAATGAGAATGAAAAAAGCAAATAACATCTTGGCATCACTAGGAAAATAATCTTGGCTTTGTCGACTCCATGAAAGGGGGCCCCTCCTCAGGGATCCCCAGACCACACTTTGAGAACCACTGCCCTATAAGTTTCATAATACAAGTTCTACACACAGTAGGAAAAACTAGTCAAAGGTTCTGTTTTCCTGATTTGAAAGAGATATAAGGGTTTATTCCACTAGAATAAACCCTTATGTACTAGGGTAACCCAGCAGAGAAATTCAAATGCATATTCTTATTAAATGATTGAACTATCACACATGATAAAGTTCACATAAAGCTTATCTTCATGAAACAATATTCATAGCAGCAGCAAAAAAACACAGATTCTGTAATGTTCCTTCTAATATTGTATCATCTTTCTGTATCTTTGTCTCTGTCTTCCAGGTCAGGAGGTATTCTAGCAAGAAAACCATGAATGGCATTAGATGGCATATGAATACAGTTTTTAATTCTCATAACCATAGAGGTAGCCAAAAATGTTCCCCATCTAACTCTTGCCTTTCTGTTCTCTTGTCCCTAAAAGCTTACAGTTGTTGAAAAAGTGATATATATTGAATGGCTTCAAACTGACTATTTATCTCCTCAGTGGGCAGTAAAAACATAAGTTAATGTTCATTTTGGGGTGCAAGTCCAGAAATCCAACTGTCTGAATTTAAATCCTGGTTTTTCCACTACCTAGCTGTGTGATTAAAGCAAATTACTGAAACTCTCTTGCCTCAGTTTCCCCATATCTAAGATAAAAATGATCACTGTGCCTATCAAAAGTATCATGAAGATTAAATCAGTTGATAAATGCAGAGTGCTCAGAATAGTGTTTGACACACAGCCAATTGCCAATAATCATTGGCTATTACATTTCTAAAGTTTCTTTAAAAGAACTAGAAACATTAATTTCTGCAGTTGACCTCATTCTCCATAATTTAGCATGACTTACAAAGATTTGTGTGTAGTACTAATTTTAAGGCTGAATTCACTTAAAGTAGCTTTACCCCAAAAGGATTAATTGATGTACCATTATGGAGTCACTGGCTAACACATCAAAAATGAGGCTTGAAAATTCATACTATTACAGACTGTGGAAAACACCTCCTATCCCAAAAGCATTTGTGCATATAGTGGTAATGAGCATGCTCTAGCTAATACAAAATGGCGATTAGGTTCAAGTTGACCCCCTGGATTAACTGTACACCAAAAGGAATTGCTAACATCAAGCATTTACTGAGCACTAATAGATTCAACAAGCTCACACTGAACATCACTCCACACACACCCTAGGAGATCATGAGGACACAACCTTAGACAGAGTCCTGCCCTCAGGGACTGGTGGAGGGGCTCTACTTGTATACAACAGTGACACAGGCAAGATGTCCTAAATCCTTGAACATAGGCCATAAAAATGCTGATGAAAGAAGAAAGAGAAGAATATTATGACTTGAGGAATCTGAAAAGACTGCCAGGGTGGTAGTTTCTGAGGTAGACACTGAAAAATGGGTGAGATTCCACCAAAAAGACATGAGGGAAAGGGAAACAACACTGGCAGAAAGTAGGATTGGGCGTGGTAGACTATACAAGATCGTAAAGCAACGGTGGGAAGGGCTGTTTGGAATTGAATGGAGCAGGTCTTCCACGCCAGGCTAAGAAGTATAGACTTTACTCAACAAGCAAAAGCACAGACTATAAAGCTTGGTGCTTTTTCACTGATAGACTCAGGATGGATGGGAAGGAGGGTACTAGAGGGGAGGAAGCCAATGATGAGGCCATGGCAATAGTCCAAAGGGAGAAGTGGTTGGGGAATTTGCAATGGAAAGGGGAAAAGAGGATATGATATTCATTTTTTAAAAAAGCATCCAGAAGATTGAAGACTAACTAGATGCTCTTGGGAAATTAGTCTCTCCTAGACCAGCGTTGTGTATGTTACAAAAGAAAGATTTCTTGAGACACCTCCAAGAAAGTAAATTTGGACAGTATATTGGACTGAAGAAAGGAAAGAATTCAGGATTACCTGTTCAGGGTAAAGGAAAGGGAAAGGAAATAATAACCCCACTAGAAAAATAATAAGCAAAGAACTCTAAGATATCAATAAGAAAAATGAATATACCAATAGAAAAATAAGCCATGGATATGAACAGGCAATTATGAAAAAATAAACAAAAATGGCAAAGAAATACAGAAGTAAATACCTAGCTGAGTTAAAAAGGAAACATAAACAAAAATGTGAGATGTCACTTTTTGCCTCTAAGATTAGCAAAAAATGTAAGATTGGGAAGGCAAAACTGTTGGTTGCCTACCTAATAGCATCCTTCCTTACCAATAGAACTCTGGATTTTTCTTTCAATTGTCCAGGTTTTTCCAGTTGGCTTTATTTTTCTAGGTCTCATCCCAGCCCCACCTCAGTAGGGAAGCACTTTGTTTAGTCTAAGCCAAAACTGATAATTCCATTTTCTTTATCAGTCATTATCTTGGGAAGGGACCTATGTTCCAGTTCTGTCTAGTGATATATGACAGAAACACACTGAGAAAGATGAGGAAGGTTTTAGGAACAGTCTCTTTGATCTTTGTAACAGCGAGCTCAAGCCATTTCAATACCCACTCTGTTTGTCCCTAGATGTTTGAAGATGCCATGTCTGGGGCTGGTGCAGCTGTACTGAGAAAATGAGGAGACCCAACTAAAATGCTGGGAATGACATAGAGGAAAAGCAGAAAGACCTGGTATTTGATGCCATTCAGCAGTTGAATTAAACTATTTTGGAATCTTCTTGTTTGGGGATATCTTATATAAGATTTTTCTTAAGTCTTATTATTTAAGCCACTTTTATTTGGGGTCTTAGTTTCTTGAAGAGCTTTCAATACCATTTGAGCTTGTGTGAGAACAATTTCTACCTACACAGTGGCTGCTTACTAAAGATTTTCTGAATGAATGAGTGAATGAAGCCTATGAGAATGACAACGGGAAGTACCTAGAAGGATCATAATAAAGAATCTTGGAGATCCTGTGGAATTTGATATGTTCAATTTACCCAGTCAGTGAGAAAATGGAAACTAGAGCAGATTTTGGACTTCCCCAGACTAGCCACCATCTAACTCACCACTTTGCCCCAAGACTGTTGCTCCTGAGGTCCTAGTTTCCATTTGATACTGGCTGAACCAAATAAGGTTATGGAGTCAAGATCTGCCCTCCTGGATCCCAGGACTGGCTACTGGTCAAAGGCCCCAAAGACATTAACTCTGAGAGGGGATGGATCTCCACCCAGGAAAACTGAGAAAGGCCTAAACCTGATACACGTGGGAGAATCCCTTCCTTCATTCTTCCGTGTGTTACAGAAGAACACGGTGGCAGAAAATCCAACTGGGAGAGTGCTGGGAGAGGCCCTGTGGGTTCCTCTTTCATCATCTAAGTTTATTCAAAGCAGTTCTATTAAAAGTGTAGATTCCACTGGTGAGGTCATGGGTGTATTCACTTTCTTTCACAGCAGCAATTCTTTCTTGTGATAGCCTCAGCATTCCCTCCAGATAAGGCATCTTTTCTCTGTATCGCCACATAATTAATTCTCCTGGATTCTTCAATGGGACATGAAATATACTCTGTCTTCTCTGCAAACTTAAAATTCAAATGTTAGTTACCTACTCAAAAAAAAAACACCTTTATTTTGTGCCACAGGTCAAAATAAATTCCACGGGATTAAAGATTTAGATCTTAAAAACCCATAAAGGCAGTAAGAAAACTTTCAGTGAATATTCATAACATCTTGTGGTTGTGATATACTTTCTAAATATGGCACAAAAGGTAGAAGCCACAAAAGACAAGATGGGTGGATTTGGCTATAATTTTTTTTTAACTTCTGGAGTAGAAAACTGAATCCTGGGCACCAGGAGAGGGAAGGTAACTTGCTATTGTGCTGCATTTATGCCTATAGATTAGCTTCCCTAATAATAATGCAAAGATTTAAACTTATGTAGTCAAAAAAACTACAGACAAATAATATACTAAAATGGAAATGTATTTGCAACATCTACCATAGACACAGGTAATATGTGAAGAGCTACTTAATATTAATAATGCCAAGTAGCCTTTGTTCAGAAATGGGCTTTGCAGACCAATCAAGTCAGTTTCAGGGCTACCTTTTGCCATATGTATGATGGGCCATTTTATCTCTTTCTCTTCAGTGTTCTTTTCTGCAAAATAAGGATAATTCCCTTCTGTGGTATAATAAAAAAAAATTGGTCTTTGTCCCCAGTTACTGACATGGAGTTTTAAGGAACCCTCAGAATTCCTTGAGTGCTAAGGCTGACAGAAGCATCTTTTGGTCTAATGAGGTGACTCCTTGGTGGGTCCCTAGATAGCTTCAGGACGGAAGCTGGTCACTAGAAAGACCAGTCCTTGATTAGAAGCTTGGGCCTTTCAGCCCAACTCCCAATCTCCAGGGGTGGGGAAGGGGCTGGACATTGAGTTCATCATTAATGGCCAATGAGTTCATCAATCACTCCTATGTAATGCAACGTCCATAAAACCCTATGTGACAGAATTCTGGGAGCTTCAGATTGGTGAACACATCAAGGTGTTGGGAGGATAAAACACCCCAACTCCATAGGAACAAAAGCTCCTGCACTCCAGACCCTTCCGGACCCCACCTTACATGTCCATTCATCTGGCTGTTCACTTGTATCCCTCACAATAAACCAGGAATGTAAGTAAAGTGCTTTCCTGAGTTCTGTGAGAAGTTCTAGCAAACTTTCAAACCTCAGGAGAGGGTGGCAGGAACCCCCAACTGATAGCCAGCCTATCTGTGACCTGATACTTGTGACCGGGGACTGAAGAGAAGGCAATCTTGTAGAATTGAGCCTGTGGAGTATGATGCTAACTCCGGGTAGTATCAGAATTGAACTGAATTGTAGGACACCTAGTTGGTTCAGAGATGAGAGAAGTAGTGTAGGAGAAGGTACCACATATTTGGTATCAGGAGGAAAAAATAATGTCTTACCTCCTCAAAAGTTACTGTGAGAATTCAATGAGAGAATTGATGCAAGACATTTAGCAAATAGTGGGCCTCAAAAAAATATTAGTATTATCATTGCTACTAGAAAAAAAAGGATGAACACAGCAGTTGGAAAATGGATAAAGATCATTAACAGGTAATTCACAAAAGAAGAAAAGCAAGTGATCAAACAACAGATGGGATGTTGGACCTCATTAATCATCAAAAAAATGCATCTTAAAATATCATTTTCTACTCACTTAATCATCAAATAATAAAATAATGGCAATGCCCAGTGTTGGCAAGGGGTAACGTCAATGGAAGAGTAAATGGTATGAATTTCCTCAATGGCAAAGAGGCAATATGTGTCAAAATTCTTAAAAATTATATGCATGCTTTTTGACCCCACTGTTTTATTTGTGCAAATGTATCTTAAAGAGGGAAAAATAAACATACAAGTACACAAATATTTAATGGAAAATGCTCATTATAGCACTTGTAATCGCAAAAAAGGAAAAATAAAGATGCCATCTAAAAGGCGTATGTCCAGGGAATCACTAAATAAATTATGATTCATCTTTGGTAGAATATCATGCAGCTATTACAACAACAATATATAATGGAAGGGAAGATCTTCATGATATAGAAAGAGATTAAAAAGAGGGTATAGAACAGTTTATATAGTATTTGAAATTATACACAGTCATATTTGATAAAATACAAAGATATATATAAGAATATTCTAAGTGGTAAAATTATAGGAGATTGTACTTTGCTCCTAAATTATTTATAGTAAACAATTACTTTCAAAATGATTCTTAAACAAACTTTCAATGCAATTTTTAGTAAGCTATTATAAAGAGTGAAAAACCTATCAAGAATATTGTCTTGAAAGTGCTCAAAGAAACTAAGAAAAAAATCATTCTAGAGGATCCTCTCTGCCTACTCTCAGTTAATTTTTTTTTTTACTAATTCATTTCAATCCTCATGCACCCATGGTGATTGCTGGGCTTCTAACATCACTTCAGTGGGACCCCTGACCTCAAATGAGCTTCCAATTTATTGCTGATCTGGAAACTCAGGACTATAGAAGGAGGCTGAATAAAGTCATCCACTGAGCACGGGAAGGTGAACGTATACATGGAGGACTTTGAAGAGAGGAGCCTTGTCCGCGCCTGATTACAAGATACAGGAGCTCTTCTGATCAAGAAAAGCGTGTGGCAAAGGGCTGTCTCGGTGGAGCCCATGGCTGGGCACAAGCAAGGACGGAGGAGAAAGCAGACACATGTAAGCTGACATAGCCAGGAAGCGGGATGACTGTAGGGGAGTAGCTGGAGAAAGCAAGTTTGGTCAAGAGCTGATTTGGCATTTTTCTTAATTTATAAAGAAAAATAATGAAGCTGTCTACCGAGTCCCTGATATCCTATTCATATTTGTGAATATTAATAGATATTAATAGATCTGCACCTAGTGGACTGATCCCAGTGCCCTGACTTGATGGCCCCAAGCACCATCAAAGAGCCCTGGAGGCCTCAGTGGTCTGAATCTAAGTGGGCATTGGCCATGGATAGGCAGTGTCTTAGCCTGGGCTTCTCTAACGAAATACTATATAACAACAGATATTTATTCTCATAGTTTTGGAGGCTAGAAATCCAAGCTCAGAGTGCCAGCATAGTCAAATTCTGATGAGAATCCTCTTCTGGGTTGCAGATTTATTGGATCCTCCCGTGGCAGAAAGAAGGCAAATATTCACTGGGGTCCCTGTGATAAGAGCACTAGTTCCATTCCTGAGGATTCCACCCTCATGACCTAATTTTTCCCCGAATGCCCACTTCCTAATACCATCGTATTAGGGGCTAGGATTTTGACATACGAATTTGGGGGGAGGGACACAAACCTGAAGTCCCCTGCAGGCAGCTTCCCTTCACAGGTCCCTTCTCTCTTGTAAATTAAAGGCATATCGTTTCCTGTCTTGTCAAACATTCTACACACCCAGAGTCAGCCGCTCAGCTGAAAAGATGAAAACTGCAAGCAGAAGTTTGGGCAGAGTAGGACCTCACCAAATGGAAAAATGCTGCATGACACTGCTTCCTACCACCATCACCTCAACACACACATTTTTATTTCAGGGGGTAAAAAGTAGGACAGAAGGGGTGGAAATTTGTATAAAAACCAAGAATGGCCTTCAAGGTGGCATGTCTGTCTTCATCTCTCAGTGCAGGTGAGGAATATCTCCCAGGGGAGCCTTCCAGTTGATTTGGCTTGAACCTGGGTAGGGCTGAGGCTCAGCACCCTGTGGTTAACCCAAAGAATCACCTCCCTTTACCTCTAGCCTAGCCCCTGACGGCCAGCAGTGTGCCAGGCACTGTGCCCAGCCAAGGCTCTCTCCAACAAGCACTCTGGGGAAACACAGAGAATTTCAGATACCTCCAGCTACAAAGACTGGTTACTGATCAGCATGCTAACAAGTCAAAGGTGATGAAAGATAACCTGATCTGCCCCTTTCTGAGCTCCCTGTGTGCCAAGCACTGTGCTAAGCTTATCTCATTTAAGCCTCACAACAATACTGTACAGCAGGGGCTGTTACTATGCTGTTGTTATCCCCACTTTGAGGTGAAAAAACTGAGGCTCAGAGATGTCAACTAACTCATTCAAGATCTCAAGGCTAGTGAGGAGCACACCTGGGATTCTTTTCATCTTCCCACCACCCCTTTCTCCGTACCCTCCTGCCCTCAATCTATCTTCTGGTCTAGCTGAGCTATTGCTGGTTTC